ATTGAAGGCTGTCTGAGTTTATCATGACCCATACCATCCATGGTAACTCGCAGTTCCAGAAGCCCTACTCTCTACGCTGGACATGGGAGTCTCCTGGTGGACAATTCCATAATGAGATCGACCACATCATCTTCAATCGAAGGTTTTGCCTGACCGATGTCGCTGTTGTTCCTAAGTTCTACACGGGATCCGAACCACCGTCTACTTCGCGCAGGATTCCGCCGAAGTCCCAAGACCGTCATCAATTAAGATCACTTCACATGTCTCGCTGACTCTGGGAGAATTCCATCTTCGACAACATCGGCGAAGAATACGAACGGCTTGTCGCACATCTTCACGACTGCGCCAAGAAGTCAGAGAGTTCCAAGATTACCAAGAAGCGTCTATCTCTGGAAACTCTCGAGCTGATTCGCCAACGTGGAGCCGCACGAGCCGCAGGCAATTACCAGCTAACTTCTGAGCTTGCAAAGCTATGCTAAGAGCGATGAAGGGAAACTAGGAGAGAAAGCAGCAGTACTGGTGGAAGCCGCAGAGGCTGGGAAGAGCATACGCAACGCCCGCCGCGACTTCGCCAACTGTAAGACCAAGATGACCGCCCTCCGACGTCCGGATGGAACAATCACCGCATCCAGAAGGGCAATGGAGAAGGTCATCCACGACTTCTACTCTGATCTCTTTAACAGCCACGTCCACTACCGTACCGCTTGGAGCAGGATGGATATGTCGTTCCTGCAGTTCTCCCTTCCGAAGTCCGACACGCCATCTCGTCGGTGAAGAATCGTACGGCACCCGGTCCCGACAGGATCAGACCCGAACATCTGAAGAATCTAGAATCAAACTCTGGCTCGACTCTTCACGCGCTACCTGTCGGAATGCAAGGTACCCACCTCGTGGAAAACCAGCAAGACTGTGTTGCTGTACAAGAAGGGAGACCTGTACGACATTGGCAATTATCGCCCAATCTGCCTGCTGTCTGTAGTCTACAAACTTCACACGAGTCATCCTGAACAGGATTGGCAGAACACTAGACGAAGGACAGCCATGCGAGCAAGCAGGGTTTCGAAGAGGATTCAGCACGATCGATCACATCCACACGGTAAGCTCATTGAAGTATCGCGAGAGTACAAGATGCCGCTATGTCTCACGTTCATCGACTTGAAGAAAGCCTTCGACTCCGTTGAGACAGAAGCGGTTATCGAAGCCCTGGGCAACCAGGGTATTCCTACTCAGTACATCAGGATTCTTCGTGAGCTCTACAGCAACTTCACGACCAAGATCTCACCATTCTACAAGGAGATCATCATCGACGTAAAGAAAGGGGTTCGACAGGACCACACCATTTAGCATAGTCTTCAGCGCCTCTCTCGAGAACGTCATGCGTCAACTGGAATGGAAAGACATGGGAGTGAAGATCGACGGTCGACAACTACATCCATCTCCGCTTTGCTGACGACATCGCTCTGATAACACCAGCGAGCGGAGCGAAAGGAACGAAGACTGTATGTCTCACAGATCGTATTGGTATGTTGGATGCTTTTTCTTGCTGCAACGGAACCAACCAATCCGCCTGGATGCTCCCTGCCTAATGTCTGCCCCTGTTCCGGGAAATCAACTGTGATCGAACAGCGCTTGGTCTCAGCTGAGCAGGAGCAAGCGAGCTGCTTAGGGAGCTTTCGAGAACATCAGAGAAGCAGCGAAGAAGGCGAAGAACACCAAACTCCATGATGAGCATATTCGTTAGGTATCACCGCACCATCAAAGGTGAGTGCCTGGAGTTTCCCGTAACGCAAGTGGACTGAGAGAGGAGGATATCCGGAGCTCCGCACGTCGCTCGTACTGTATCGAATATCAGAGACGCCGCCGGCGCATTTGCCGCAAGGTATCACGAGATCGACGTCGGGCAGGACACGTCGTACTTTTGAAGGCGAAAGCTAGACCAGAGCGCAGTGTACCGATGGATCTGTGCGCGGGCGTATGCAAGTGAACAGCTTCTGGACGACAC